AATCATGAAGCAACTATAAAGGAGGGCCCGTCGGCTTTTTAGAGGGAAACGTAATAATGCTGTCAATAAGTGCGAGTGAAAGGGCGTGCAGAGAGAGAGACACTTTACAATAATAAGAGTACAAGCTGCTCATACCTGCGTCCCACCACGGTCGTCGGGGGGAAATGATCCGAGGAACGCTGCCGACGACGGGCACTCCTTTATAGTTGCTTCATGAGCCAAATCACGTAAGCCAAAGCATCGACGACCGAAGCCACGATCATCACAGCCGAAGACGAAAGCTACAGCCGAATCAGAAAGCTGCCGCCGAAAGCTTAGAGAAATAAAGATTTAAGCTTTCCGATGGAGGGCCAGCCACCGATATCGCGAGAAAAAAAATCAGTTCCACTTGAGAAATGGTACAATACGGCGGGAAATTCAATTATAAACCAACCCTTGTTGCAAATAGTGACGCTTAGTAAAAATAATTAATTTTTAAAAACCTCTACTACAAATCGGGAATTTGTATTATTTGTGTGTACATACATACATACATATGTACCGATATGTATACTGATTTAGAACCGGGTATATAATTTGTGACGGGTAACAAGCGCGTCACGTTCCTAATCCTACTCGGCACAGAAGGATACGTTTACTACCCCATAAAGTATATACATATATTCTGGATCAGCATCAATAGCCTAGTCGATATAGCCATGTATGTCTGTTTGTCCTGATGAGCGCATAGTCCCCAGAGACCATAAGAGCGAGAGCAACCAAGTTTGGCTTCCAGACTGCTGTACCATCACACTGTTACAAGTGTATTTCAAAATTTCGCCAGCCCCTTCCGCCCCCAACAAAGGGCAAAAATATCGAATTTCCTCAATATTGATGATAAGAGAGAAACCAAAAATGCAGTTCCGTAGGAAATGGATATATGGATGTCAGATCGAATAAGGGTCAAATTCATGTCCAGTGCGTGCCATCCAGCAACGTTGTTTATTTTTTTGGCTCATTTTCTCTCGCTCGCATACTCTGCCTTATGCAGTGTGCGGCTCTGGGGCAGGGTGGCGCCAAAAGGGCGTGTTGGGGTGAACTTTTTTTTAAATGTATACATAAAGCTGTGAAAAAAATAATAGCACCACCACCACAAGCAATTTTCAAATAGTTGCCAAACTCACATTTTTAACTTTAAGGAAACTTTAAGCACATTTTTAGAAGGGGAAGACTCTTACAAATCTGGGAAAAACAAAAAGAAGCATCATTTTCAGTAAGGATTTTACGTTATATAATGAAATTTAGTGAAACTGGTTAAATTAGGCGAACAAATTAATAGCACCACTTTAGAAAAATAGATTTAAAATTTAAAAAATGACCAACAAGTAACGAATTTCTAAGTTAACACTTTTGAATTAATAAAATTCTTAATCTATATTTATTATTTAGTATTTAGTTCAGTGTCCTATTTGGCTTGGAAGCAGAAACTGCCTTTTGGATGGCGGACCACAAGTTTCCGATTGGTTTCATGTCAGGCGACTGTGATGGCTACTCTAACACGTTCAGTGTTGGCCCCGAACCGTTCCTTTGCTTTCATGCTTGGGTTATTTACCGGTTCAAAGACCAATTCTAGTGGCATTTCATATTCTGCAAACGGTAGCATTACAGTCTCCATGATATCCATGCACACGTGCTGATCCTTGATGGTTTTTATTCAATATATTGAACCTACTCCATAGTAAGAGAAGCAGGCCCATACCATTAAATGAAACCTTTTATTCTTAATGGTTTTCTTTGGTGTACTGGCGTTCCTTGGACGTCTTAAGTGTGATCAATATCCCTTTTCAATAAATAAAATACTTTTTACTCATTAGACATTAAAATTTTCCTCCATTATAGGGATGTCCAATTGGCATGCTACCTTGCAAACATCATGTGCTCAGTAATATGTCTGGAGTTTTAAAGTGAGTTTTTTTTGCAGCAGGCTTTTAGGCTATGTTGTCTAAGATATATCCAAACTTTCTAGCCCGTCGCTTTCATTTTAAGCTCTTTATTTAAGATCCATAGCAGGCTTGAAGGGAACCTTCTTGCTCTCACGAATCAGCCTTTTGACCTTAAAAGGGGGCATAGATCGTTTTCATCCACGTGTTTTACACTTTTCTTCATAGTTTAATCGTTTTTAATCATTTTTTTAAAACTTCCTACCAATTGACCAATTTCTCTGTAAGTTTTTACGCCAAATATAAGTTGTGTGCTAAGGTCGCGCTTCTTTGCATTTCAGAGCTTTCCACGTCATATTGTAATGAATATTATTAGCTTTTATGATAAAAACAATGAAATATTAGTCAAAACAAATAAATACGTGGTTTATACAAAGTCAATTCCGCGAAATTACGGTGATTTACTTAAAATAGTGCTATTCTTTTTTTCGCCATATTTGTGGTATTTTTTCTTAAGTAAAAAAAATATAAACACATAAATTTAAAAAAAAAAACAACACCTTTTTTGGTAATGGTATATACTTAGCTATATGAAAAACACTAAAAATTTAAAAAAATCGCAACAGTAATTCCTTTTTTTTGGCCAAGAACAAAATGTGTTGTAGTAGTGCTTTTATTTTTTTCGCAACTGTATGTAAAATTCGAAAAACCCCAAAGTTACAGACATACTGACTGAGAACCGGGTATGAAAGTTGTGACGCGTACGAAGTATTTCAAACGTCCCTCCTCGTTTGTGATAGATTTTGACATTTAAAATGTTTTCGCTAATAATTGTTTTGTAATAATTTGGTTTTTTTAAAGAATTGTTTTATACCCGGTACTCGAAGAGTAAATGGGGTATATTGTATTTGTGCACAACGTGAATGTATGTAACACACAGAAGGAAACGTTTCCGACCCCATAAAGTATATATATTCTTGATCAGCATCAATAAACGAGTCGATTGAGCCATGTCTGTCTGTCCGTCCGTCTTGTTGAGCGCCTGGATCTCAGAGACCATAAAAGCTAGAGCCACCCAATTTTGCATCCAGATTTCTGTATGCTCACACTGTTACAAGTGTATTTAAAAAATGAGCCACGCCCCCTTCCGCCCAGGTCAAAAATCTACAAAAGCTACAATTTTGAAGATAAAAGAAAACTAAAAAAACTAAAACTCCATTCTGTAGGGAATGACCATATCTATCAGATCACCAAATTTAGATCCAATTGGATCATTATTAAAGCCACAATGAAGAAATGAATTTCCAGTGGTTAAATCCACCCCGTCCCGCAGCCTATATTGGTTTTTTGCACATTCTCTCATTCACACTCTGTTTCGCGCAGTGCGCGGCCTCTGTCTCTGCCTCGGCCTCTGCGCTCGTCTCTGCCGTGAATCTGCAGTGTGTGGCTTTAGGGGAGGGTGGTGTGTGAGAAGTGTTGTAGATGTAGATGACAGATGAAGAAAAAATGTAAAATTTTACAAAAAAAACGCTAGGGTACAGATGTAGTGCTGAGTACCGGGTATAAAAGTTGTGAGGAGTAAGAAGAGTCTCACACGTCCCGTCCCTGTTTCTTGTCAAACTGTGGACGTTTGTCTTTAAATTTCTTGATTGTTTCACTATTCTTAAGGCAGTCAGTATGGAAATACCGCATGAATTCTAAAAAAGCTGGCTATATGGTTTTATTGGCTGAAAACCACATTTTTTCTTCATCTGTCATCTACATCTACAACACTTCTCACACCAACACGCTCCTTTAGCTCGCCGCCCTTCTCTAGACCCACACACTGCAGACTCGCGGCAGAGGCAGCGCCCGCACACAAAAAAGAAACATATATAAGCTGCGGGACGGATATTTGTTATACCCGGTACTCAAAGAGTAAATAGGGTATATTGTATTTGTGTGAATAACGGTTGTATGTAACGCACAGAAGCAAGCGTTTCCGACCCCATAAAGTATATATATTCTTGATCAGCACCAATAGCCGAGTCGATAGAGCCATGTCTGTCTGTCCGTCTTGTTTGTCGGCTAGTTCTCAGAGACTATACCACCACCAGATCCACCAAATTTTGCATCCAGACTGCTATAGGCTCACACTGAAACCAGTGTATTTCAAAAATGAGAAACGCCCCCTTCCGCCCCCGCAAAAGGGCGAAAACCCAAATCTACAGTTTTGAAGATAACTAAGAAAACTAAAAACGCCATTCCGTAGGGAATGACCATATCTATCAGACCACCAAATTGGGATCCGATCGGATCATTATTATAGCCACAATGGAGAAATTAATTTCCAGTGGTTAGACCCACCCTGTCCCGCAGCTTTTGTTGCTCTTTTTACATTCTCTCATTCACACTCTGCTTCTGCTTCACTCGGCCCCTGCCTCTGCCCTCCCCCTGGCGTTGACTCTTCCGACATTTAACCAAGACTCGGTTTTTAACGCTCTGTATTAGAAAAAGAGTGACCATCAAAGTTGCGTACAAGAAATTTTCATAGATGACGCCACTTTCGAAAAATTTGCTGTGAAACCTATCGGTCATTATTGCACAGAATGTGCAGACCATTGGACCATCAAAGTAGCGTACAAGAAATTTTCATAGATGGCGCCACTTTCGAAAAATTTGCTGTGAAACCTATCAGTCCAAGAATGTATCAATTTTATTGATGTTTTAACTATCTCATGAATGGGAAAATATTAACTGATCCAATTTGTTTGATGCATTTTATTTAGTAGGCTTTTACTACGTGTTCTGTAATGTGAACGATATCTAGTGGTTGGCGATGTCTTCTATATCTAGATGTAGTCCTGAGTGCCGGGTATAAAAGTTGTGACGCGTAAGAAGCGTCTCACACGTCCCTTCTCGTTGTATTAAAACTCCTGTCAAAATTGGCAAAACCATTTTAAACTTTCTCTGTAATGAGCTGATAGATAATACTAATCGAATAATATATTTACACATTCGAATTTATTGGTATTAGTAAGTCCAATTACCTTATATATACCATTCTTTAACCACTCTTTTACCATTTTTGAGGGTACTTACTGATACCGCGTTGGATGAACTCCTCTTTTTTGGAGCATTCAAATGGATAAATCAGTCTGTCTGATGTGACTTTCTCGCTGAAAAAACAAATACAGAGCCGTGAACTATAATTATAGATTATAATCGAATACGGGCGGATATCGCTTACTATGTTTTCTCGTTGAAAAAGGCAACAACTGCAAAGGGCGGCCGACTGGTCTTGACGAATTGAATTTTCTGAGACAAGGTTACTTCTCCAGGCCACCAGATCTCTGTGTTGTGTATTTTTACCCATACCACATCGCTCTCGTTATACTGCGGCTTGTTGGGCTCCTCGTTCCGAGAAAATGACATTTTTTCTGATAATTGTGGATTTGAAGTTCTGTAAATACTTTTAAAGTGATTCTTGGTTGTATAAAAGGAGGGCGTCAGTCGCTCTTCTGCCTATCTCTTCTGTACAGTCGTCTAGTGGTAGATCTCTCTCCTCCTAGCACGATTGAGTAACGAAAATATTTCGTGGTACCTGAAATGTATTATAACAAAAAAATTAGCAAGATTTTATTTTTATACCCGGTACTCGAAGAGTAAATAGGGTTTATTGTATTTGTGAGAATAACGGTTGTATGTAACGCACAGAAAGAAACGTTTCCGACCCCATAAAGTATATCTATTCTTGTTCAGCATCTATAGCCGAGTCGATTGAGCCATGTCTGTCTGTCCTTCTGTCCGTCTGTCCGTCTTTTTTGTCGGCTAGTTCTCAGAGACTATAAGAGCTAGAGCCACCAAATTTTGCATCCAGACTGCTGTATGCTCACACTGAAACCAGTGTATTTCAAAAATGAGCCCCGCCGCCTTCGGCCCCCGCAAAAGGTCGAAAACCTCCCAAACCTACAATTTTGAAGATAAAAGAAAACTAAAAACGCCATTCCATGGGGAATGGCCATATCTGCCATATCAATGGCCAAATTGCGATCCGATTGGATTATTATTATAGCCACAATGAAGAAAGTAATTTCCTGTGGCGAAACCCACCCTGTCCCGCAGCTTTTGTTGTTCTTTTCACATTCTCTCATTCACACTCTGCTTCTGCTTCACTCGGCCTCTGCCTCTGCCTCTGCCACTGCCTCTGATGACTTTTAACCCACCCCGTCCCGCAGCTTATATTTTTTTTTTTTTGTGCGGGAAACGTTTTGGAGGGCTGCTGGCCCAAGTGCCAGATTATGATTAAAGCAAACGAGAACGACTTGTATTTTTGGTACCTGATAATGTTTTTGACAGTCACTTTTGTTCGTTATCATAATCTAAGACATGGATATACATATGTAGTTACATAAGTATTTTTAGTGTGTTTCATAGTGTCTGTGCCTCAGTGTAGTTCTGGTGTTCCTCAGAATACTATCGTGTGTTCACCAATTAAAATCAATTGTCATACAATTCGCTGGCCGATTGTTTTCATGTGCTATCCAAGCATACTTATGTATATGTATGTATGTCTATGTACACATGGAAATGAGGAATTTTCCAAACGGAAAAACATTTAAAAAAAAATCCGCCTACAAATTTATATATAAACTATATACAGGAGAACAGGATAATCTTACGAAACAAAAAGGTAAATTGATAAAGTGAATTAAAAACGGAAATTTGGCCCTAACTGTGCAGTTTTTTTTTCTCTTCTGATCAGAATATTACAGGGATCGTATGGGGATAGCTTTTACGTAAAGGACATTAGTCTCGTCGAAAATTTTAAGATTTCTTCATCGCATAATTTCATTAAACACACTGCAGCGACCTTTAATTGCACTTTTTGAAGTCCCTTTCAATTCCAAGAAAAAATTGCCACAAACATTAATTAATTTCAAAGGTTTTGAGAGATTATGTATACAATTTTAGTTTTAAGTCTCCTTAGTCAATAAGAAACAGAGTGTTGATTAATGTTTTTTAAAATTATTTTTCGCTTGCAAAACTCCTGAGTCTATTTCATTGCTCGGGAGTGTAGGAGGGCGGTCAGAAAAATAGCCGGTCTTCCTAAGAATAACACATTTTTTTTCTTTTTATTAGTCAACATAATATCTTTTTAGCTCTATATATGTACCTTTATTATAATTTCTCCAAATTTTGTTCCCCTTAAAAAAATGTTTGACGTTTCAAAGTAGCCGTTGAAGTCGTTGGACTCAAATCTTTTTCCGCTGAGATATTTCTTGAGGTTTGGAAAAGGGATCATTTCGTTTCGGAATGGATGGATTGTAGCCATGGAAACTGAACATGTCTCCACCTCTGCATTGTCCAGCCGAAAAACTTTATTTCTTGCCCAAATGTGTTCGTTTTCTTTTCAATATCAATTAAATTTCAATATAATATCGCGTACATTCCAAAAACTGGCTGGAAAACGTGTGTTTTGACTGCTTTTATCTCTGGAGTGTTTTGATTGATTTACGTTTTTTTTATAAAACGGTGCAAAAATGTATCCTTATTGTGGGGAAACTCACCAAACACTCCTTCGAAGCTGTCACACGATTTCGCTTGTGGCCGATTACGAGCAAACGCGTCAGGCATCTTTTGGAAAGCTTTTTCAACTGGTCATTTAAACCAAGTTAGTGATGTGGTTGCCTATAGCTTTCAGAATACATTGAAATTTCAATCTCCTATCGGCCATCACCATATCGTTAATTTTTAACATTTTCTCTGGGATAGGACCTGGTCTCTGGGACCTTAGGATGTGGCGCATCGTTTGTGGTTGTACGGGCACAATGAAAATAGTAGGCCCCTTTTTGTATTGAAATATACAGTGCGAAGTATCCAAAGTATTTATCAAACTTAGCATTGGATTCAGTGGCGTTTTTTTTCGGAAAAAAATATTTTATTAGTCCACGAAATTAACTTTTTTCAAATAAATAATCAAATATAACATTTATGGGAGGTTTGAAATGTTTTTAATTGGTAAGGCCGATTACACCACTCGACAAAATCGAACTTATGTTTTCCTCAAGGACCGACTTTTTATACCCGGTATTAGAAGAGTAAATAGGGTATATTGTATTTGTGCGAATAACGGTTGTATGTAACGCACAGAAGGAAGAGTTTCCGATAGAGCCATGTCTGTCTGTCCGTCTTGTTTTTCGGCTAGTTCTCAGAGACTATAAGAGCTAGAGCCACCAAATTTTGCATCCAGACTGCTATATGCTCACACTGGAACCAGTGTATTTCAAAAATGAGAAACGCCCCCTTCCGCCCCCGCAAAAAGGCGAAAACCTACCAAATCTACAATTTTGAAGATAAAAGAAAACTAAAAACTCCATTCCGTAGGGAATGGCCATATCTATTAAATCACCAATATGGATCCGATCGGATCATTATTATAGCCAGAATAAAGAAATTAATTTGCTGTGGCTAAACCCACCCCGTCCAGCAGCTTTTGTTGTTCCTTTCACATTCTCTCATTCACACTCTGCTTCTGCTTCACTCGGCCCCTGCCTATTTAAAATTTGACAACACACCGCTGAGGTGCAGATGCACTATTGTCCCAATCACCACTTTTGGTGGCTGTTTACGCCAATTAGCCAAATTATGGCCCGGAGCAATTAGTATTTTGTATAAGTAAAATGAATTTTTAGCATTAAGCTATTGAATTGTTGCATTTACGACATACTGTCAGAAGTTTGTTGCTATAGAACATACATGTAATATGTGAATACGATAGAGAAAGAGGAAGAACATGCATTTAATAGGTGAATATCGAAATTGAAAAGAAGAAGAGATTAAATTGATTTGAATTCCGACTCGGTCGAACCAGCAGCACTTGGCTTTTTATTTCGGCTATTTATTTATTAGAAAAAGAGGGACCATCAAAGTTGCGTACCAGAAATTTTCATAGATTCGGAAAATCTGCTGTGAAACCTAGCGGTCATTATTGCACAGAATGTGCAGGGAAAAAGTACCAATTTTATTGCTGTTTTAAATATCTCATAAATTGGAAAATACGATTAACTGATCCAATTTTTTTGATGCATTTTATTTAGTTGGCTTTTTACTATGTTTTTGTAATGTGAACGATATCTAGAGGTTGGCGATGTCTTCTACATCTAGATGTAGTCCTGAGTGCCGGGTATAAAAGTTGTGACGCGTAAGAAGCGTCTCACACGTCCCTTCTCGGTCTGGTAGATTTCGGGAATTCAATATTTTTATGGTTTTTTTCTATGGCAGAACTTTTCTTTGAGGAATATTTAAAATCTTATATTTTTGTACGAGTTTTTTTAGAGGTAGCGGTTTGGTTTTTTATAAAAGTTAAGTATCTTAGTTCTAGTTGTTAGGTTTTTTGTCTGGAAAGCTGATTGATGCAGCTAAAAAATTGACTTTTTGTTTCCTCAATGAACCAAACCAACACGCTCCTTTAGCTCGCCCCCTTCTTTTATCTTCAGCCTTGGGAAACGCAAACCTTTTGCGGGGACGGAAGGGGGCGTGGCTCATTTTTTAAATACACTTGTAACAGTGTGAGCATACAGAAGTCTGGATGAACAATTTGGTGGCTCTAGCTTATATAGTCTCTGAGTACTAGGCGCTCATCAGGACGGACAGTCGGACAGACAGACATGGCTCTATCGACTCGGCTATTGATACTGATCAAGAATATATATACTTTACTCGGAAACGTTTCCTTCTGTGCGTTACATACAACCGTTATTCGCACAAATACAATATTCCCTATTTACTCTTCGAGTACCGGGTATAAAAATGCTAAGGTACAGATGTAGTACTGAGTACCGAGTACAGAAGTTGTGACGCATAAGAAGCGTCTCACACGTCCTTTCTCCTTTTTTTGTCCAGTAGTGTATGCATTGTATGGTTGTGGCCTCTACTCTTTGTGGACAGGGCAAGGAAACGACTTAAGGAGCGAAACCGACTTCTGGTTGCCAGATGGTAGATGAATACGTACATTTTTGTTATCTGTTTAATAAATTGATATTTATTTGTTAGATACATCTTGATAATAGCGGACGTACAGATTAGATACACTATAGACTAGATATATCGTACAATAGGCTAGGCTATACGGATTAATAGTTTGATTATTTATCCGAAAAATATGTTGTGTACAAAGTAGACATCGGTTTAAAATGTATACTTTAAATAGACACAGAGATATAGTGGTAGACCCTTTGTGATAGTAGCTTATGTACAGGGCTCTTTATATGCAAAGTAAATATATCAAAATATCAATACATCGATATTTTTCGAAATAAAAATATATTTATTTCGATTTTTTTTCCAAAATATCAGTATATTGATATTTTTTTAAATAATCTTTGATTGGTCCCAATTACTTTAAATGACCACGCAAAACGACGTGTGCTCCGCAAAAAAATATTTTTCAGCATTTTTCTGGAAAACCCGGAAAGTGCATTTTATGCAGTAGTAGTATTTTTAGAGAGAAATATGATCTGGAGGATTTTCGTTTTTTGTGAAAAAGTCTGTGCGTGTTTAAAAAAAACTTTATTAATGAAAGAGATTAAATATTTAATTTAATTTAATTAATTTAAAGATAAAAATGTTACACAAAAAAGTAAAAATTAGAAAATTGAAACGAGAATTGAAGATGTTATAAACATATTTAAGGTTTCTGTTTTCTTTATGGGAACCATATTTTTCGCGGAATCTTATTAAATATACCGATTTTTAGGTTTTGTTTTAATAGATTTGTTTTTTTTTTTTTTTTTTTTAATTTGACAGCCCTAGTTTGTGTATAAAATTAATTTCATGTAGGTCTGGTTTACAATCCACTTATTCGGTAGTTTCGATTTTAGACATAAACGGTTAGGTTTTGTATTATTATTTCCTTTTACCACAATCATAATTCATAATTCAATACTCGCATTGCTTCATAATTTGGTTTAAAGTGAGTCAAATTTTTGTGCAGGCAACAAAAGAAAAGGAGAGCTTAAATGTATATAAAATCTCTAATAAATATAAAAGACAGCTATCCATCTACAGAAATGGATAGCAACACGGTAGTGCACTAGAGAAAACTGTCGATCAGCATCGTGTTGACGCCTGTTATTAGGTTGTGGGTATACGATGAAACTGAAGTAACTTGTGCATTGTTCCTTGGGTTGTGTGGGGAAAGTCGTTCAGAGATGAATGATTGATCCTAAAGTGTCTTTGATTTTGAGGGACGAAACCAGTACAGCCACCGTCGTCATTGGTTGGGTTGGGAATCAACGCGTGCGCCGTTAACATTCGTTGCCGTCGCCACATCATCGCCCACAATGAGAACCTTGCCAACGCCATCGGGCGCCACCAGCTCACCGCTCAGGCCATCGAGCCCGGGCTCACTGACGTCGCCGGGAATTTTGGGCTTTGGACGATGTGTGTCTACCGCATCAATTGGCAGTTTAATGTGCTCTACTTTGCATCCATAGGCCACGGGGGTGAGCTTGATGACGGTATGCAGGGGCACATATAGGTAAGGCAGCTCATCGGCAGACTTATCCAGAAAGTAAGCGAAGAGGCAGCGCAAAACTGCCTGGTGAGAAACAACCAAGACATTCCCCTGCCTCTCCAGTTCCATGATGACGGGTTCCAAACGCGCCACTAGATCCTCATAGCTCTCACCGCGCGGATAGCGATACGCAAACTTGTTGACATCACGCGCCTTGAACTCCTCGGGAAAGCGCTCTTTGATCTGTTCGTAGGTCATTTCCTCACAATGGCCAGCATCGATCTCGTTGAGCGCTTTCCAGCGTTCTTGGGGTGCTTTCACGTTGGCCACTGTTTGAATGGCTCGCTTCATCCACGAGGTCCACACACGCAGTCCATCGATATGCTGCTGCGAAATGAAAGAGGACAGGGCACGGCCGTATTGATGACCCCGTGCGCTCAGATTTGAATCGCCACCAATGAGCCCGCTGAGGTTGTGCTCACTTTCCCCATGGCGCGTCAGATAGATGGTTCGCGGCGTTATGTGTATGTTCATCAGATAGTAGACGATGCGCGACTCCACGTGACCCTCGTTATTGTAGACTACCACCTTTTTCCCAGCGTTGTATACCTTCATGAAACTGAGATGTGATTCGGTGACCTCGTCGATTGGCTGATAACGCTCCTCGTAATGCTCGATACGTTGCAGGAAGTCCCGCACCACCAGCTCGGTGTTCATGTTAAGGTAATCTGGTGAACTCACCTTTACCTCCAAAATGTTCTGTTCGATTATCTGCGGATCGTCACAGATCGACTCTACAAAGAAAAGACGGAAACCGTGCTGCTTAACCACAATATTGTAGATAAGCTGTCGCCGGTCCCGCGTCGAATTGGTAGCATCAAACACTGCAATGCTACCCTGGCCGCTCAGAAGCCACTCGCAAGAGTCGTGAAGCGCTTGGTTGGCACACCTATTCCTGATGGCCATCGCCTCCTCGTTGTCGGCGCGGAAAAACTCATGTGACTTGTAGGCTGTTGTAGCATGGCGACGGTACTCGCCTAGGTTAAACACTCGCGTCGCAATCCCTATCCAGTTGAGGTAACGCGCCAACTTCTTTGAGATAAAGGTCTTGCCCCTGGCAGGCAAGCCCACCATAGCTATAACGTGGGGTGTAGTGCAGTCAGCGATTGTCCGCTCCCCGCGGATGGGAAAAGGTTTCGTCATCACCGTCTCCGAGGTAGGTGGCAGGAGCTTGCGCAGCTCCTCGGACATCACCGACGGGCACACATGAAGCTCATTCTCTATCGCCAGGTCGGCGGTCTTTTTAAGTTGATTCAGTGAGGTGGTGCGCACGCGTAGCGAAGGCGAGGTGTTATAGGGCATGTCCATGATGCTGGTGGCCGTCACTGAGGGTACAAGCTTCTTGGTAACAGTGGATCGAATGATACCAGCCGTAACTGGCTCCTGAGACGGGGATGATGACGAGGAAGACGACGAAGCTGATGATGACGAGGCGCTCGATGGACAGTTGCAGTAGCTGCACAGATCCGAGTATGAATAGGAGCGAGATGCACGGGAAGGTCGGGGGAGGATTTTATTTTTCTTCTTTATGCAAAGAAATGGCAATGGCAATGTTCCTACTACGTCCTCGTCGTCTAACACGTCTTCGTTTCCGATTGCGTCTTCCTTATCATGTTCTTGGTTACTTTCAAAACGTATATGATTGCTTTTGCTTCCACTGCTGATGTTCGTCTGGCTTGCTACAATTATTTGGTTAGAAGTTGTTTCTGTCAATGGTAGTTTCGGCTGCTGAAGATCCACAGGTGTTCCTGATGCTGATGTGGTTCCTGCTGCTCTTCGTTGTTGGCGTGGCGAAACATGAAATAAGTCGGGGATTTTTACATAAATGTTCAGTTGAATTTGCTGATGTTGTTTGTAAAAGCTTTCTGCAATGGTGCGAATGGAATGGAAGTGAAGAAAAGTGGGAAGAGAGCAAAACAGCATTACTCATAAACGTGTGAGCCTTTGTACATATGTACACACATACATATACATACATACATATTGTGTCTGTAATAAGTACACAAGTAGATCGACGCATTCATTCAATAATATCTTTTAATAATAAACACTATCAAAAAAATTGGAATTTTAGATGATATATCATCAAAATACCCTATCGACAAATTAATTTTCTTAGTACAAGTTCTCTAGCTCACAAATGGGCTAGGTCGGGAAAATCTCTCATAAAAATTTTACTTTTTCAATGTACACACTTTTGGGAAAACGTATTTTCCCGATCAATTTTAAAGTGGGTTCTATTTTTATTAATTTGTAAAGTTATTTTGACTAATTATACCCGGTATAATGTATATTGTATATTGTATTTGTGCACTAATTTATTGTTTAACGCAGAGAAGGAAACGTTTTCGACCCCATAAAGTATATATATTATTGATCAGCATCAATAGCCGAGTCGATTGAGCCATGTCTGTCTGTCCGTCTGTCCGTCCTGATGAGCGCCTAGTACTCAGAGACTATAAGAGCTAGAGCCACCAAAACACCATCCAGACTTCTGTATGCTTACACTGTTACAAGTATATTTAAAAAATGAGCCACGCCCCTTCCGCCCTCAGAAAAGGGCGGAAACCTCGCAAATCTACCAATTTGAAGATAAAAGAAAACGCCATTCCGTAAGGAATGACCATCTCTATCAGATAACCAAATTGGGATCCGATTGGATCAATATTATAGCCAGAATGAATTAATTATTTGCAACGGCTAAACCCCCCCGTCCCGCAGCTTATATTTGTTTTTTTCACATTCTCTCATTCACACTCTGTTTCGTGTAGTGTGCGGCCTCTGCCGCGTCTCTGCATCTGACATGACTCTGCAGTGTGTGGCTCTAGGGAAGGGTGGCGAGCTAAAAGATTGTGATGGCGTGAGAATTGTTGTAGATGTAGATGACAGATGAAGAAAAAATGTAAAATTTGACAAAAAAAAAACCGCTTAGGTACAGATGTAGTACTGAGTGCCGGGTATAAAAGATGTGACGCGTAAGAAGCGTCTCACACGTTCCTTCTCGTTTAAAACTGCAACCAGCTGAAAATTTCACCACGGTTAGTAAACTTGAGTTCGATGAAGCCTGTGTGGCAGGCTGTGGGGCAGACCCCTTGTAGAAGGGGTCAATATTAATTTATGGGGCAGCAATACCTTGGGGGAAAGATTGTTTCTTGTTCTTTTAGTCATCATGAAGACTTAATATAGCAAACAAAAATTTTCATTATACATTTAAAAAAAATTAAAAACTTATTCCATAAACATATAGTAGATGTTTTGATCTTTGATACAAAATTAACTTTTTCTGTTTACGTTGACCGTACGCCACGTTATAGGTGTTCAAACCAGAAACTGCAAATGATTATTTGATATTTTTTAAATAAAAAAATCATTCACTTGCGGAAACTTTGAGGCTGGCGGACATGTGCCAATATTCATCTTAAAGGATATTCTATGCATATCCACCATGATTTAAGTGTTTTCAAGTAATATCGAAATATATGAACTAATTTAGGCTTTGATGAACGTAAAACAATGATACAAAATAATATGTTTATATAGATAGAAACAAAAAAGTACCAACTTGATAGCGCGTGATTTCATCGTTGGTATTGGATGTATGGATACCAAAAACCGCCATGTCGCTCCCTTTCGTGACAAATTTTGCAAAAGTATTTAATTGACTTGACCGAATTGCAATCACTTGGCATGCGCTCTAAAGCAGTCTTGAACAGCCTGATGTTCCTGAAGCATTTGCTGTAGATCTTGGAGAATTGCTCTCTTCGTAGCTGTGTTGATCCCTTGACGCCTGTCAAGTTTTTCTTCCATATTGCCCATATTGCAGGAATTTATGCTGTGCATCTTTTATAGGTTGCAATGATCCAATGCGATGGTAAAAGGATTTTCATTCAAGCACTTTGTGGTAAACGACATTCTTTGTTTTTTGGTCAGGCGCAACAACAAATAAAGCGGATGGTTTGCCGACACGTGAGCCACGTACAATTGACCATGAGAAAAACATTAATTTTCTAGATTGAGGCCACAAATAGCCAAGGATTGGCCCTGTGATTTGTTGATCGTCATGGCGAAGGCAAGACGAATCGGGAATTGAATTCGTTGAAACTCAAAGGGCATATCCGTTGGGATCATCGGAATCCTTGGAATACCTCATCTTTAAATTTTCCTTTAAGTATCGACGTGTGAATCACATTGCTCATCAGTTTTCTTATCACCAAACGCGTTCCATTACACAGTTTTAGTTGGTTTAAATTTCTAAGCATAATGACTACCGAGCCAACTTTAAGTTTTAAATTGTGCGGTGGGGTAAACCAGGCACATCCAAGGAGTTGAAAAATTCAGTTGGATAATTAGTGGCTTCTTCTTCGTTTGTTACACAGTCGATAGATTTGAATGAATATAGGGTACCTACGATTTGATTTTGAATTATAAGATTGAGGTCTACATCTTTATTTTTAGAGGCCAAAATTGCTCGCTCACTTAACCATTTAGTATTTTTGTGGTTAGCAATGATATCCGGGAATACGTTGTTGATAAGCTCGTCTTTTGATGATACGAAATTGCAAAAATTTGGAGGAAATGAAATCAAACCGCTCGATTTGCCAACAGGAACACGGCCATTACCGATAGTCAGCAATTGCTTCGAGAAATCATCAGCAGATAGATCGTTTAACAATGCAACTCTAATATTTAGAGACAGTTGAAGTTTCTTTACATATCGCCACAGATTTGATGCTTTGAGGCAAGCGTTTATTTCGTCTGCAGCAGTAAATCTTGGAATGACTGGTAGTGTTTGTCGGAAATCGCCAGATAATAAAATCAGTGCACCACCAAAACATCTCGAGTCATTGCGCAGATCTTTTAATGTTCGGTCTAGTGCTTCCAATGGGCGTTTGTGCGCCATTGTGCATTCGTCCCATATGATGATTTTTTATGCTACTAAAACTTTGGCCATTGCGGAGTTTTTCGAAATGTTACATGTCGGTTGTTCAGTAGTTTGAAGGTTTAATGGCAATTTTAACGCTGAGTGAGCCGTACGGCATCCGTCTAACAATGTGGCCGCTATTCCAGAAGAAGCAATTGCTACCGCAATTTCGGATCTCGCACATACAGTGGCCAAAATCAATGACATGAGGAATGTCTTCCCAGTTCCACCGGGGGCATCCAAAAAAAATAAGCCGCCATTTCCATCATCAATTGCATTAATCAGTGTATCATAGACTTCCCTCTGCTTAGGATTCAACAGAGGTACATTCGTTTGAACTGATTGGATTAGTTCATGTGGATCATATTCATGTTCACGTTCCAATTGTCTATTAAATGCGTCATTCATTCCGCGATCTGGCGCTGGCATTCCTAACCTAACTAACAAACTGCCGCACATGAGGTAACACATATCTTCGATCAAGAGCAAAGTCTGGTTATGGATCTCCCCATTCACCTCAAGATCGTAATTTCTTGAGCTGACGCGAATTCGATGTAAAATATCTTCGGACATGTTATCTTTGTATTTGTTTCACAGGTCAAGTGGGTTCGATGGGAAGCATGTTGAAATGATGATAGCAAATAATGTGCGTATCTGACTTAGAGATGCAGAAATAATTGCTTCAGCGATTGTCGTGTCCCAATGAGTATCGTTTTCAAGCAAATTTAGCTCTTGACATGCTGCAAGAATAGTGGGGCACACGATACCATTAACAGTTCGTAGTGATTCAAATGATTTTGGCCCTCGAACATGTACCAGCAACAACCGCAAATAGAAACATTCATAATTCTTCGGATTAACTGTGTAAATACGACCAAGATCATCAGTAGAACGCATATCTGTCGATGGTGCAATCATACAGAAACGCTGCCCGAAACAAATATTAAATATGATTAAACAAATACAAATGAACTTTTTAGACAAATTTCTGAACAAAAACATGATGTCTCCAGAAAAAAATAAAGTTTTGGCTTTAAGGCCCCAACAAACAGGCCATGAGTTGTTTTTAAGATGTATTCTGCTACTCGCTACGGAAACAAATCCAACAAATCAAAAACCATGGCAATCGGTCCAGCCGTTCTCGAGTTATAAGTGCTTTAAAAAATACGACTTTCTTTTGTATATATAGAGTGTTTGAGAAGCGCGAATTAAGGCCCTTCTTTGCTCCATATTAACGCGGCGCTGTTCTCGTGCAATTTCAGATAATTGACTCGCTATTCCGTTGCATAATTGCATTACGGCTTCGCTGGGAAAGATTGGATCTTCTAGGACGCGGCATTGTTATTAAAATGATTAATACAAAATAAAACAAATATTTAATATGATCAAACAAATACAAATGAACAACAAATGAACAAATGAACTTTTTAGACAAATTTCTGAACACAAACATGATGTCTTCAGAAAAAAATAAAGTTTTGGCTTTAAGGCCGGAACAAAGAGGCCTTAAGTTATTTTTAAGATGTATTCTGCTACTCACGACGGAAAAAATCCAACAAATCAAAAACCATGGCAATCGGTCCAGCCGTTCTCGAGTTATAAGTGCTTTACAAAATACCACTTTCTTTTATATATATAGATTTATTTATGTATGTATATTTATTTATTTATATTAATTTATTTATTTAATATTTAATTTAACAAAGAGCAGCTTCTGCAACGACTCTGTGGATAGGTTACACCTCAGATCGGAAAGAACTAATCTAAGTGCAGAAAAGGCTCTTTCCACACTGAATTGCGTTGCAACTTTTTCATTATAATTGTACTTAACTCGATCGGTTTTGGGCT